GTCGAATAAGCTTTAGTTAAAGTGTCCCCATCACCATTTTGAAGCACAGGACACTGAATAGATGTGAAGGTGCAGGCACTTTAATTAGAGTGGCTCTCAGAACCACTCTAATTAAAGCGTTTCTCCCTCTGCCTTAGAGCACATGTAAAGATACCCTTAGAGACTAACTTCTTTAAAAAGCCATAAGCTTTCATAGATGATGCGTAACAGGAGCAGCAGCAGCAGCAGCAATGCTCAGCCCCTCCTTTCATAGAACCCAGGGGCTGCACATTGCCACCACTTTTCCCTTACTTTGCCCTCCTTCTAAATTTTGGGGAGGGGAAGCACGCACAGGAGCAGGGGCTGTAGGTAGACCCTGCACTGACCAGCTGGTGAGCTCATAGACCTTACAGCACATGTGGAGCTCCCAGGAGGAGTTGCACTGACATGACAAAGTCATACAGACAGCTGCAGCCACACTTTCTGCTGTGTGCCATGGGCTGTGTGGTAATGATCAATGAACTCTCTTCAATACACATGCACCATACAGCTGAAGGGATGTGCTTGCACCCCATTTCTGAGATCCTGGATTCACCCATGACTGGCAGCAGAATTACATTGCCTTCGTTCTTTTAAATTTTGAAAACAGCAGTGAAAACTTTCCACTTGGATGGAGTTTGTGAATGACCTGAGCAGCAGCAGAGACACTCCCCTGGTCTGTCTGTGGATGCAAGCTGAATTCCAGTTCAGAAGGGTTTTTTGCTTTACACTTAAAAAGGTTGAAAATGTAAAATTTTAATGGTAGGTTAGTTTTTGCAATAAATAGTAGCAGAAAATTCCTCTCTCATCCAGAAAAAATGGAGTTGTCAGGTCCTAAATATGATCATGTTATGTCACACCAGTACTAATGTAATGTTTGATCCAGATTCCCTGCCCTTTACACAAGACGACTGGCACATGTAAACTTGGCAGATCTGGCCAGGGGTAAAAGCACATGGCTAGAACTCTACTGTGTCCTGCAAGTGTTCTTAATTACCCTGGGGATTGAATCAGCTCCCTGCTGATCCCAGGGTTGGCAAATCACAAATGTAGCATGAATTTACTTTTGCCTCTCCATTCTCCATCCTCAGACCTCAGCTGGATAGAGCATCTGAGAACCAGAACATCCGTAGCAGTTGAGTTAGAGCAACACTATGGATGTCTGTATTTAAATGTCATTCAGCTAATCATCACTGCAATGTTTAATTTCACTAGCTCTTTTTAATATATCCTATATAACTTTACACACAAAATAATATGTGAAACTGACTGTGAAGGCATTCTTTCTCTGGGGTATTGAGTAGCTTTAATTATTCCCCACCTCTGATTACTTTTTTGACCTAAAGAATAAATGAATAAGAAAATATTAATTGTTTGCAGAAATATGCTGCTAGACTTAGAAGCTGGTCAAAAGTTGGAAACAGCAAGTCTTTTTTTTTGGTTTTCATGATGTTGTTTTAATTAGTGCTTCAGTTGCTGGTTTATTTACATCTTTAAGTAACTATTGAAAAAGTGAAGCATGCAATTTTAATATTTTTAAATATAAAAATTTCATCAAAATAAAACCTTAATTGATTTTGAGATTATGTAAAATGATGATAGATCAGCATTATATTCTAGTTTTTTAATTCATTAAATGTAATGGTTACTATGTTTCAGATGGATGAAAGTTATTCTGCAGGAAATGTCAATCCTGTATCTCCACACAAAGATATTGGTATGTTTGGAAGTAAAAAGTACTTTTATACGCTAAACTATTTTATTTATCATTATGTAACTGATCCTTGGCCCCTGATTAGCCAAAACAGTAATGTCACAATGGTAAAATTGTGAGACTGTAATTTTGTGGTCCATTGTATACATGTGTATTTGGACCAACACAAAACTGTCCTGACTCATAAGTAATGAATCCTTACTTCAGAGCTCTGCAGTGATTGGACAGTATTTTCATGAAAAAGGAGGTGTAGAAGAAGAGATAGGCAGGGAGAGCATTAGGCGTGCTTAAAACAAACCATGAGAGGAACACCAAGGTGAAAGGAACAGCTGGAGAAGTTCAAGGGCCAGTCCTTAGAAGGAACTGCTAAATATGGTGAAGTGTGTGTACATGTAATTTTTTTTAGAAAAAAGTATGTGATGTCACATTCTGAAAGACAAAATTCATACGGTTCAGACAGTGGATTTGCCTGTAGCAATGGTTCTCTAAGCATTTCATTTTGCTGATAACTTGGTAAGAGATCACCTCCCCTCCCAACACCCATTTTCACTGCCTCTTGATTTTCAAAGTATTTCATTTTGTAGACAGCCAGAGAGGGCTTTGTAGTTCGACAGAAGAGAGTGAATGCAGTTGTCTCAGGAAATCTTCAATACATGCAGTGGCCTCAAAACTGAGATCCTTGGAACAGCATTTCTAATGCATGAATAAACATACCATTGTATGTTGATAGTCAATAAGATATGAAAGCATGACATTATTTCAAAAACATAGTATGGCAATACCAATATTCTTAAAATGAGTTTTTTTCTAATTTAACAGATTAAGTAAAAATTTGTTTTGTCTGCAGGGAGTTTATTTGGAAAATCAGAAAGTGAGGATGGCTTTACATTTTCCTTTCCCTCTGAGTCATCTTCTAACACATTTGGAGATGGAAAAGATGACTTTAGTTTTCTATTTGCATTTGGACAGGATCAGAGATCATCGCAGTCTTCCTCTATGAAAGGGTTTCACTCTTCATCACAAACTACAAAGCCATTTACATTCTTCTGAATACATCTTATTTCTTCTTGAATTCTTTTGTGACTTAGCCTTGACAAGTGTTTTCAGCATCTTCAGTAAAAATACAAAGCCTTTAACCTCTGTCATTTCATGTAAAAATACATTATTGTATTTGGTGCAAAAACATCTAAATGTTCATTGCTCTTATATATATATTTATATTTAGAGACAATTTTTTGGTTTTATATTTGTTATTTAATATATTGTTTCAGTAAATCTGCTGTTCTCCCTCTAAACTTGAACTTGTTATAAAGAGAAAAATGTCAATTGACAAGAGCATGTTGAGTTTATTTAGTGTGTGTTATGCACCTTTAAGCTTCCAGTTTGAATACATTAATCTATAACAAAGCATGTAGTGGATGGTTTTGCCCAAGCTACTGCCACTACTTAGAACAACACAGCACTTTTTCATGTAATAATGCAGAATTCTGTTCTATACAGCTTAGTATAACATAAATTTAGCTATTTTTCTGTAGCATTAAAAGTTGTTTGAATGTATTTGTTATGTTAAATGCAATATTCATAAATTCATTAACTGTTTTAATGTGTTAAAAAGGTTAGAAATAAACATCTTTGTTAGTTGTTACATTTTTTTCTAAAGGATCAATTTTGTTAACATCTTAACATCTTGTTAGGGTATTCTACCTTCTATTGTCCAGTCAGCAAAGATGATGAATATACGACATAGTGGAAGTAGAATAGGGCCCTTTCCATTATATTTAGTGCCATTTGAAAAAATGTGAAAGCAGAAGAGCACAAAGCAGATTTGATGAAAAGACATCCATCAGCTCTCAGCTAGCTGGTTAGAAGACAGCTGTCCAGCAGGGAGTGCTGAGTAATTTGAAGGGACTTCCTCTAGAACAGGCAGAACTGGATTTCTTCCTGTAAAAAAAATAGCAATTCATTTGAAGAACTCAGAAAGTGCGCAACAGCTTTAAATGTTTTTAACAATCTGGATTCCTTTGGTTGAAATCTCTGGGTTTATCTTATGAATCATGTTTGTACACCTAACAGTGCTAATATTGTGTGGATTGCAAGGCACCCCAGGGTGCCATGGCACCCTGGTTGAGAATCACTGTGTTAGTGAGAGTGTCTGTAATTACGGCACATTAAGTTTAGTACCTGTAATGACAGGTTATGGCGCATTAAGTTTAGTACCTGTAATGACTTAACGCGTTGTAATCAGTACTAATGCACATTAGTGCAAATAAATGGTCTTTTTGTGATGTTAATGCATGGTAGACTAAATATACTGTGCATTAGCACGGGGTTGGCCTGCCATGCTAATGCACAGTAGAAATAGTTTGCACTCGAAGGGTCTCATGTAGATGCACCCAGTGACAGCCAAATCTTCCTCTTGCATGGGGGACAAATCCCATGCAATATAAAATTTGAAACTCTGTTGGATTATTTTTCAGGTTTGCCATAGAATGAACTTCTTCCCCAACAGCAAACTGACAACATACAGAAAGGGAAGCAAGGTGAGAGAAGGCAAGATAATATTATTCAGCCAGCTTAGAGGAAAATGCTACAAATGGGGGGACTAACCAGGTGGAGTAACAGTGATGTTTTACTGTGATGGTCCAGAAATTATGGAAGAGTAAGGCTTTCTTAGGGTGATATCTTTTATGGACCAGCTATGTAGCTGAGAGAAAGCTAGACAAGCTTTTGAATGTAACACATTCTTTGTCAAGTCTTTTATCACATTTCTGGTTTCCTGTGATCAAAAGGCTGTTGCAGAATATCTTATAATTGAAAGCTTGTTTAACTTTATCCCAACCACACACTTGGTCAAATAAAAGATGGCACCCTAAAAAATCCTTGCCTCTCAGGACTAATCAGGAAAAGCACTCAAGCCATGTTTATCATTCCAGGCAACACCTTCAAGCACAGTGCACTGCTCCACTCAGGCCGCCTCCTAATCAGGAAGCAGAGAAGCCCCATCAGTGCTTTGAGCAGAATAATTAGAAGAACGTGACGGTGACAGCCTGCACCAATGCTAACTGGCCTGCCAATAGCATCATGGATATGACTATGCTACTTTCAGTTTAGTGGGAAGATCAGGCAGAGAGCATGCTTCTGCCAGGCATGGTACATTTTTCAGGCAGATGTAAACCAAGTGGGACATGCTTGCTAAAATCATCTCAGCAATAGTCTGCGCTGCCTGCCAGTAAAAGGTGGCCTTCCACTTAGTCTACAAAGCCCTAAGAGGCCTAGAAGCTGCATCCCTTAAGTTCTACTTCTTTGCTAATCTGCCAAAGCCATAAATAATCAAAGCTGGACTACTTTTGTCACTACTGGGTGCATCTACATGTTCATTAATCTGCTGTAGTTACTGCACATTAAGTTTAGTACTTAGATAACCATAGGTGACATGTAGGAGGGACATGGGGGGCAGGGGGAGCACATGCCCGCCCTGATATTGGCTCTCGCTGGCTGGAGAGTGGGGGGTGATGGCCAGTGCCCCCCTGAGATTGTGGGGGTGCCGAGAAAAGCACTGCTGGCACTTCTGCCAGCAGCAGCAATCAGCCGCTGGGGGACCACCCCCACTCCGGTCCTAGTATCAGGAGGCACCAGTTGCCCAGGACAGCCAAATATTAAATCAATGTGCAGTACTGGAGTTACTGCCAGCACACAAGTTTTTACAGACCCTAACTATTAGGCCTGTGCAAAGCAGCTAGTATTTGCTTGGGATTCAGCCAACTCAGGGGATAGTGGTTCGATTCAGTGATTTAAATCACTGTTCCAAGTCGATTTGGCCGAATCTGATTTGGAGATTCGGCTGCTGCCAAATCAGCCAAATCTCCAAATCACACAGGCCCTATTGCCCACCTGCTCTTCCAGCCCACCTGCTCTTCCAGCCCTGCCCAGCCCAAGCTCCCAGCTCTTTGGAAAAGAAAAAGCTGGCACTCACCAGCTCCTGCCCAGCAGGGGGGGAATGATTCCCACTGCCCCCTACTGCCCCATACTACATGGGGGGCTCTGCATGAGCCCCCAGAAGCCCCAAGGCTGCTGCAGCAGTCAGTGAGCTCGGGTTTGTTTTTTGTTTTTGTTCTTAAAGGGCCAGAGGTGGGGCAGGCAGGGCAGCCATGGGGGGCTGGGGGAGTGGGGGGTGGTCAGGAGGCTAGTGGCAGAGGCCCCCACATGGCGTGGGGCAGTGGGAGGTGGTGGGGATTGCCCCCCACCCCCGCCTGGTAGAAGCCAGTGAATGGGGAATTTTTTTTAAAGTGCTGGGAGCTGGGGCCGGGTGGGGCAGCCATGCTGGGGGGCTGAGGGAGCAGGCAGGGGTCGGGGGCACTTAGGAGGGCTGGAGGAGCAGGCAGGGGTCACCACATGGTCCCCTCCCCACTCTTCCAGCCTGCCCTCCCCTGTCCCCTACTTACCAGCTCGGTGTCCGCATCCAGCTCCCTGCTGCAGCAGGCAGGGATTGCCCGAATCACTGAATCTCTCCAAATCTTTTCTGAATTGATTCGGAGAGCTCTGAATCAATTCAGACCTTTTAATTGGTCCCCCAATTCTATTTGGATTCAGAGATTCGGCCACCAAATCAGGCTGAATCTCCTCCAAATTGAATCAGCACCCAAAGCTTCACACAGCCCTACTAACTATGCAGTAGCCTAATACTACTGCACAGTAGTGTATTTGTATGGGTTTTTCCCGGCACACTACTGCACAGTATTATTAGGTGACTGTGAGGTTAGCATCTCATGTAGACACATCCACAGCACCCTCTCTCACCTGCCAAAGTCCTAAACAGGTTCAGGTTCATCTGCGGTAGGTATGTCCCCAGGTGGGGAAAGACAGCAGATTCTGGGCTAGTAGGGAAGTAGCCAGACAGGGACCTGTACGCTGCAAATGCCTATTGCGGGGCTAGCTGCCCAGCAATAGGATAACATGGCAAAGCCCTGTTTAGGTAGCAAGGGCACTCTACAATTTGGCCAGAGAAACAGAAGCTGAAGGTTGAGGGGACACACCTGCAGCCAGACAGGAGAAGCCCTGCCCAGAAGGTGAGGATCCCTGGGACATAAACCTGGGTCCCTGAGGCAGAGGTAGTACAGCCCTGAACTCTACAGGGAGAAGAGTTCCTGTCCATTCAGAATGGCAAGGGGTGGGAGCTGCAGGCTGTGTCAAGTACTCCTAGGGCTGAGAGAGCCAGCGAGTGAGGAGGTAATGGAAGCAGCCAGAGGCTGAACGGCCAGGCCAGAGCTAGTGGGACAAGGCTACCAGTCCACCACCAGAGTAACCTGTAGACTCAGGCTAAGAAAGTCAAAGCCTATACAGGAAGGCAAACAATGGCAGAGTGTCATCTGCAAGGCATGCCCATGGCTATGAGGGTGAAAGGAGGCCATGATTAAGAGTCCTAAGGCCATGGGAGGTGACCATTGGTTCACAGTGCCAGCCAGGCATGAGTAGGTCTGCCAGGGTGCAAGAGACTCTGCAGATAACTCTGTAGTTCTGGGTAGTGGGCAGAGGGCCTGAGACCATGATCAATCAGGTAGGTTGGCCAGGCACTGGTGAGAGCACTCCTGGGGCAGCCTCCCAGTCAATATCAAGGAACATCAAGACTTGGCAGGTAAGATCAGCAGGGAAGGTTATATAGAGGCAGGATCAGGAAGGCCCCAAGGCAGGGGTGGGCAATTATTTTGGGTGGAAGGCTGCTTACCAAGTTTTGGCAAGCTGTTGTGGACCGCATGTGTAGCCCCGCCCCTTGACAGATGCCCGACCCCCTGGTTGCCACCTTGGGACCAGAAGCCCTGCTCCCTAACCTTCACCACCAGTACTCCTTTCAGCAAGGGGTTTTGCCATCTCTGAACCAGAAAAATACCAAATTATATTCTAAAAATCAAACATACTACAACATTCATTAATTTCATTTCAAAAAATATTTTTGTTCTGATTTACATGTGTTTGTGTAGTGTACATAGAGGTGGTAGTATAATAGCTTAAAATGAAGTCTTACTCTTGTATATTGTGGGAGGGTGGGTATAGGTTTGTGGGGTGTGGGGGGAGGTTGTATGTGGAATTTGTGGGGGGCTGTGAGTGTGTGAGGGGAGGGTGGCTAGGGAGGGTTGTGGCTTGTGTGGAGGGGATGCGTTTGCCCACAGCCTGCCCCCCCCCATGGCAGGCAGAGCCCCCACCAGCGCTCCTTCAAGCCCAGGCTCCAGGCTCCTGCCACTCCTGGCCCCAGGGCACAGGCATGGGGCACTCCTGCTCACTGCCACTTGCCCCCTATCTGCCACTGCTGCCCTTCTCCTGCCACTTCCCTCCCCCCACCCCCTCATCACCTCTCTGGCACCACATCCCAGATGTTCCTGTGGCTCTGCTGCTGCAGCTGGGAACCACATGGTGCCAGAGTATAATGGACAGGGGCAGGATAGTGGGGAAATGGCAGCGGCAAGTGAGGGGAAGGGGCAGCAAGCGGATGTGCGGAGCACAGCAAAAGCCAGGCGGGATTGCAGGGCCTGTGCCAGTGCAGTGCCAGTGGGGCCCAAAGTAGGTCAGCAGGAGCGCAGAGGCTCTATGGAGCCTGGCTGGCTCCCTCCTCTCCCTGCTTGAGCAGCGCAGCCTGGCTCCATAGAGCCTCTGACAGCCTGGCCCCACGCTCCCGCTGCTCCACTCTAGGCCCCACTGGCGCTGGCTCCAGTGCACTGGTGCAGGCCCCACGCTCCTGCCCAGCTGTTGCTGTCTATGTAACCACTCGCTGCCCCTTTCCACCCGCCTGCCACTGCCATTTCCCTGCTCCGCTTCCCCCCTGCCCACCTGCCTGCCTGCCCACCCCTCCAGCACCACGTGGTTCCTGGCTGCAGCACTAGGACCACAGCAGCTGGCCTGCCCAGCCCTGAGGACTGGGCAATCACCCATGGTCCTCCCATGGCTTCCCCCCCACCCCTTATCTATATTTCCCTTGGTGCAGGGAGACAGGACCAGCCCCAGGCCAGAAACCTCCAACAGTCCCTGGTAGGCAGAGGCTTCTGGCTGGTGCTCGGGGGCTGGAGCAGAAGGGGGGCTGGGCTGGGCGGGACTTGCTGCTGCAGCTGTTTAGCTCTGCCACTGGCTCCCCCTTGGTCCCACTGCCTGTCATCTTTGACAGGCAGCCAGGGGCAGATAAAAAATTCAGAAATTAATATTTAGGGACCTCACGGGCCAGATAGAATGGCCTGGCGGGCCGCATCTGGCTCAAGGGTCGTATTTTGCCCACCCCCAGTCTAAAGTGTGTCAATGAAAATTTTAGTTGGGAAATTGATTGTTACTTTTTTATGGAGGCAACACTGTTAAGCTTTAATTATGACCAGTATCCCAACCAAAAAAGCTCATCCCTGTCCTGAAGGAGGTAACAAATAGTACATAATGACAAAATTAGACTAATGGTGGGTGGACAATTTAAGTAATCAGGAATAAATGTAAAAGGTAAGAAGTGAAGGAAGGTCTTTTGCTATATTCAAGTGACATCTTTGTTATATGCAGCATTTACTGAGCTCTGATACTATTAGAACAGTGATAGTAAACTATAGTGTATGGCTCCTTTGATATAAAATATAATACAAAACTGTAATACTTTGCTATAAAAATGTAATAGTGACAAAACTGCACTCAAAATATGCTTTCCCAGTTAGCATCTTCTGTCACTTCATGACTGACTTTAGTAATACATACTATATATATATTTGTATTATGTGTGTGTATAAATATACAGATACATAAAATGAGCCAGTTTTATTATGAAGAGTGCTTTTGACCTCAAAAAAAAATCACACTTGAAAAATAGAGGCAGGGTCTCCCTGAATTTACATCTCATGTTCTGGTCCGGGACTGAACTTTTCTCTGAACATAGATTGCCTGTTCTCAAACAATAGTGTTTTAATTCACAGATGGCTCATTGCCACATTCAGTTTTTTAATGATAATTGTAAGTCAAACCTTTGAGAGAAATTCTCCCCTTAGAGTTGTGCTGTTTTTCTCTGCCACATAATTCTTCACTAATTTCATGTGTGAAATGCCCATCAAGAAGAGTTCTGGGCTTGTAACTAATGTGGAAGGTCCAAGGGTTACAGCTCTGAGCCTAATCCACAATCGTGATTAGACAACATTAATTGTAAGTAATGGCTTTCATTTCAGTTATCTGTTGGGAACAAAATAACATGCAAAAATATGACCTGACACTTCACACCCTTTAACCTGACGTGTCACACTCTTAAACAGCTAATTAAAGAGGCTGTTTTCAGTTTTAGCTACTTAAGATGCGATCCTGCAGGTAAATTTTGGGTATTTATTGCTGGCAAGGTCAGACCCTTACTAACAAAGGTTTCATTTAGATCCGCCAAGAGTTTTCAAAGTAGCTAATGCTGCTTAGCTAAATGTTAGAAGTAAAGTAGCATAATTAGGTATCTTCTGGGAAATAGTATAAATACAAAGTTTAGTAGCAGTGACAAAAGAATCACTGCACCATAAGAAAACAATCTTATGTCCTACAGTATTAATATGCTTAAGCATTTCAAGGAATAAGCTTTAAATGCTACTTACTGTAACAGATTGGAATGTGTAGACTTACTGTATTAGAAGGCAGTAATCTCTCTGCTGCAAGGCTGATTGCATGGGCAGCAAGAGTTGGTTAATCCTTTTCAGCCAATGACATAAAATAGGGATTAGTTTTTCATTTACTGCAACTGAGTGGGTTGTTAGGATCCAAAGACACTAATGAGCCTGAGCAGGTGATTGGGATTCTGCTTTCACAGTTGTGGGCTAGTCTAAGAGAAAATAAATCCATCTTATAAGACATAATCATAATTGACAAACATGATGTTTCAGTGATATTTTCTTTTTCCCCTGGAAAAAATGAATGAAGACTCTAGCAGTAGAGCACAAACCTGACCGGCTGACTTTCTCTCTTGGAATTCGAGTTCTTGCCAGATTACTTGCCTTAGAGGCTGAATGGCTCATTTAGAAATCTCTCTGTTGCCTTGCTTTTATGTTCTGCTCTTGATGTCTGCAGAGTTGACACAAGTCACATGCAATCAAGTCTATGTTCCTGGTGGACAGGGCCTGTCCTAATGTTCTCTGACTCACACCCAGGTTGTTTGCAGCTCAGCAGTTCTGCTTCCAGACGCATCGCTTTGTGTTCTGAGGTTAATGTCGTGCTGAGAAAGTGCCTCGTGGCACAGTGTTTCTCTAATCCTGTACCTTGCTTGATTTGATGTGAAGACGATGCTCTTTTTAGCACTTGTAACACATTTACCTTTGCAAAGGTAACTCTGTATTTGTTCAGCCTTGTGTGCTCTTCAATCATTGATTATATTCTTTAAGCAGCCCTTTACTGCTGGCGTTCCTGTCAAATCCACAGACTTCTAAGGAGATGATCACGTAAAACATGAACAGACACACTTTTTTTTCAGTTAAAGCAGTTTAAAAATATACAATGTACAAATAATTTAACCCATGATTGTCAGAAATTGAGCAACATGGCACATTTTAGCCACAAGAGATGAGTAACCATAGATATGTTCTAAATGCCGGAAAATGGCCAAATATTTCATGATAACACACCGTGGCCCACTGGATCATGGAGAGGGATGGTGGGAGACCAGTGTGTATGTTAGGGTAGATAAGAGGCCAAGAATGGACATTAGTGATGCCGGCGGATGGCAGGGATGAAGAAATGAGAGCTGTTTGGGATTAGGGGGCAAGCAGTTCCTGGAATGTTTAGTACTTTGCTTCCTCCTCCAGAGCTGGATTGCCTGGGCCAAAGCACAGTTTCACCTGCCTTTTCTCCCTCTCTTGAAGCATGGCGATAGCAAATTATATTTTTTCCCACAATGCAGCGATTGGTGACATTGCCCTGCTACCATGGCTGCACAGGACCGAAGCCACATCCTATTTGGCCCTTGTGCTATATGGGGCATGGATGCACTTAACAATTGCATTGAATAACAATTGTTTTATTCCTAAATGTCACAGATTGGGAACTGGTTTGTAATTGTTGAGAGGCCATGGTTGACTAGGACATGAGGAAACAGCTGCCTGCTACAAAGATAGCTTTCTTGCCAAGTGGTGCAAGGGAGCTAACTGATAATATGTGCCAAT